CCCCCTACATTTCATTTTCATCCCAAACGGAGCAAGCAAGATCGCAAAACACAAACACGTAAAAAAGTTGTGAGAAGAAAAAGGTGAAAGCTGTGAGGGGTGGAGGGGTGAAGGGCGTCACGTGAGGGGACCACCAAATGTTTTCTCCCAGTAAACTGTAAAGTAGCCAGTTTTGCAACACAATAAGGTCATATAAGTGCCGAAGATTAGAGGTGTTACAACAGAGTATAACAAACACAAAAAAGAAGGAGGAGAGGTCACGACGATAGATGTTCGATAAGAAAGAAGGAGTAAAACATACCAGAGCACCCGCCAGCCACCCACATAAAGTAGGGGGTGCGAGGAGCCCGTGAGACATTTATAGACATAGTCAGTCCACCAAGATTCCATCAGGCACAGTTCCACCTGCTGTAACTAACGGCCACCTGTCCGAGACAATGACCTGTGGACAAACAACCACTTCCCACTTACCTCCCTTGTCTTTTAAAATTAAGTATTGACTGAAATAGCACAGCCTGAGACGTCCATCCACCTCTCTAAGACAATCACTTTTATCTCCTCCACAATTAATGGTGATCGTCATGGACAAATTCGACTGTGATGCCTTTGGCTGAGTTGACAGAAAACACACAGCATTGGGCCAATAGGAATCCCAACAAGTAAAGCCAAACATATAGAGCCTATTATTTACTGACGTTAGTGTTTCCTTCCAGTCTCACGCTCAAAAATTTAGTTCACTCCTTTACGATTACCTGGCACTTCAGAGTCTCTGTCTCTGACGTTACAGCGTACGGCTTTGGACTTTAACGAACGAAACTACAAAACCACCCACTGTGACAGCCTCTAAACTTTAAAGGCAGCTAATCTAATTGAGCTAGATCTAGAGATAAGAAACGAAGTGTCTATTCGGACTCGAGTCCGAATAGACAAAAATTATATTTGGACTCTGATTGAGTCCAGCATGACGTCCGTTCCTAAATATTTCCAGCATTTATGAAATATCTTTCGATTATAATGATAACAATCAAGACGAGAGCTTTGATATCCAGTTACTAGATCTATCTAAATTAGTCCTCCCAGCATCATTACAAGTACAAGTATGAACAGATCAACCAAGTTGAGCTGACCTTGTCGAGGAGCAAAGTTAATTATGTCTACCAATGAGACTACGCGTAGACGATATCGCACTCTCGGCTTTCAGGGGGAAGAGGTGTTGGGAAGAGGCCACGGCTGTCGGTTTTGTGCAATGTGATTTTTAAAAAATAATTACAGAAAAACTATTACACACAACAAAATAAAATTTAACATGTGGAAAGACAAATGGTGGTGGAAGTATGATGATGCTGCAGTGGTGGTGGAAAAACCCTGAGTTGTCAGTTACCGTATATTTAGACACTGCCATTACTGGGTAGATCTAGATCTAATGAGAATGCAGTCTTTTGACACACTTACACAGTCCTGGTAGGTAGCCTGATTCTAATTCTAATTCTGGTTTAACGTAAAATCCCCCGACGACAGTCATATTATCATTATGTAACCTCCTTACTTACACTCACAGGGGAGGACTTCCGTAACGAGCGACCACTATGAGACAGAGCAGAATTGAGGGCTAGGGGTAGGGGTAGGGGTGGGGTAGGGTTAGGGTTAGGGGTAGGGGTAGGGTTAGGGGTAGGGGTAGGGGTAGGGTTAGGGTTTGGGATAGGGTTTGATTGGAAGTGGCTATTCTCATCCGGGGTGAGAATAGAAAAACAAAAGAGAGGGGAGGAGTAGATCTTGCGAGAATTTCCGGGCAAAACAAAATGGCGACCCGCGTAGTTCGGCTCGATTCGAACAGTGAAATAGCCATAGCAGGCCTCTTCTATTCCAACTCGAGTCCAAATAGAGATAAAAATTATATTCGGACTCTATATCTAGATCTATATATATATATCTAGATCTAGAACTGGCCGATAAGAAAACAAAATTTTAATATGATGAGACTACTTACCCTGTGCGCATCATACTCATCAGCAGAAACGATTTCGATGACATCACTATCCACAAACTCGCAACTCGCACTCTCTTTAATTTGTGAAGCCATTTTGCTGAGATGTAAACTTGTAAACTTGCCCCAGTCAACTGACACTCCACTCCTCGAATGCCTTAATCACTAGAAATCTGGTCTAGATAAAGATGAGTTGATGAGTAATGACTCAAGACTTCAGCCTTAGCAGAGCCACAGGCTAGGCTAAAGGTGAGAGTAAAACCAGACACAGAATCTAGATCTAGATCTAGGTTAGATATATTTTTTTATGTTTTCAGACTGGCCTCCAAAGAAAAATGAAGTAGAATCTAGGGGCACAGAATTAAAGATATCTAATCCTCACACAACACAATCGGTTGCAATTTAAGAAACGGCACACGTTTTTAGTTTTCACGCAGGTAAATAGCAGGTCAGTGAGGCAAGATAAGATCCATTTAAACTGGTAGGTTTAAAATCCAGAATACACAGGCATCCAACGCTTTCCATTCTGTCTTAAATCTGAACACTTCAGTTGATATTATATTCACACTCAATCGTCCGCTGGTTGGGGTACCACAAGTCTTAATAACTTGGCTTTCTTGGAGTCTGGCTTTGAACAGCAAACTCAGACTGTTGAAATTAAAGATCAAGATTCGGTCCAATAGTGATGGGTAACAACTTGTCTTCCGTCACATAATATTTCCACAACATAATTCAAAATGCACGTGCACATTTTGACAAGTGCTCAGATGCATGCCACTGAAGTATACCTATTTATTTACATCTCCTTTGATAGAAATTTCAACCCCAATCAAGTAATAAATATCGGAAAAATTCCAGACTAATACATGATCAGTCAGTGTTCAGAATTTTCAGACGACTTCCGCTATTTTGAAACGCATGCGCACTTGTCTTCGATCGCGCTGATATTTAAAAACACGAAACTCCAATAGAAACCGAAACCAAGAACATGCCAAGGGAAATAACAATGATATATCAATTCATCAACAAACCTAGAAGAGGTACTTCCCTTGTTAATAATAATAATAATAATAATAATAATAATAGTTGTAGTTATAGCAATAATATTAATAATAATAGTAATGATAAGAGTAGTAATAATAGTAATAACAATAATAAAAATAATAATATTTTAACATTTAAGCTCCGCATTTCCATTTTTCCCAAAAATGCTCAACGAATGCCATAAAACTCACTAACGGCCAAAATGAAATTGAAACTTGAATGGCTAGAAACATTCAATAAAAACATCTGTTCTCTATAGAAATAATAACATTGCCATTAATTTTCTCTGTTTTTCTCCCTCCTTCTCTCTCTCTCTCTCTCTCTCTCTCTCTCTCTCTCTCTCTCTCTCTCTCTCTCTCTCTCTCTCTCTCTCTCTCTCTCGTTATTCCTTCAGTCTAACGTACGTGCAAACATATAGATCTACATTGTATATGTATTTAAATAGTTCATCGTTATGACAGGTATGCATAATAAATAATGCTTCTGCTGTTTGTTTGTTTTTGTTGTTGTTGTTGTTGTTATTTTTGTGTGTTTTTGTATGTGAATAGTAAGGGCACTCCATATTTTATAAGGGAGCTCGTTCCATACATGGGGACTGAAGAACAAAAAGGAACGCTTGCCGTATGTTTTGTAATTTTGTTTTGGGGTTCTAAGAATCAGATTGTCAGTGGCTGGTCTAAGGGCTCTGAGTGGATGATATAATTCGAGGAACTGTTTTAGATAAATAGGTGCAGTGTCATTTAGATATCTTTAAAAGAGAAAACGGCAGTTTTGTATTTGATTGTTTCTTTTACTGACAGCGAGTATAGTTCTTTCAGAATTTGTTACGTGCGCTGATGTTTCATTATAATCAATTTTGCCGCTTGATTTTGGAGTAGGCTTACTCGTAGCATTGGTACTTTCTCGGCCGTCGAACCGGATCAAATAGCATTAGGCCCTATAGTAATCTACTTTTGATCAAAATCAGTGTTGTTACTTATGTCTTGGCTGGTGCTTTAGTCAAATAATTTCTTACACTGACGATTTTTTTCCACTGAAAATAGGGCAGATACTTTTACTGAGCTGGTTAATTTGGCCGGACAAAGACATCATAATCCAACTGAACCCCTAGATTGTTCAGCCTTCGTTTTGAACGAATGGCATGATTAAAAACTTATGTCAGTTTGCACACCTGAAGTCTATCTCGCTTATTTGTGGATCAATTTTTACCAAATTCCACACTTAAAACAAGCAGAGTGAAGAGTCTTCAAATCTGCAATCAAATTCCAGGGGAAAAAATACAAGTTTTATTGCGATGGAGAGGGCAACCATGTTTGATATTGTTGACAAATGGAAACAAGTTGTTATTTTTTAAAAATTGCATGTAGGTTAGCAAACAATAGTTCTACAAAATGATCTGTTGGCTTTTTTCTGAGCAACTTTGAAATTTTTTTAATGAATTTAATGTTTGTTTTTTTCTTGAGGTAGTAGGCTATTCAAGTTTGTGCAAACAACAAATCAGTGAAAGTCCAAAACAACAAATCAGTGAAAGTCACTACCCCCGGGGCGCTAAACAACAAATCAGTGAAAGTCACTACCCCCGGGGCGCTAAACAACAAATCAGTGAAAGTCACTACCCCCGGGGCGCTAAACAACA